ATCGGCAGTTTTCGCGTTTTCCTTGCTTACGGTGACTGGACATGCAGTTTTCGCGTTTTCCTTGCTTACGGTGACTGGACATGCAGTTTTCGCGCTTTCCTTGCTTGGTTTGCGACTATCACCTTTCCGAAGAGTCCTCTCTTTTTCTCTGCTATCTCTCTTTGTTCCAGGAGGGCCAAAGTTCTCGTACCCGCTTCCTTCATGATCTTAACAATATGGATTCAGAAGGAAATAAAGGGGCAAGTCTAACACAGGTTCCTGCCAATCAAAAATTAGGAAATGACGTGATGTCTAACATGAGTCTAACAACAGTCTTTTCGCTGCGCATGGGGGAGCGTGCTCGGCGGCATGGGTTTGGCGCGTTTCCTTTCCTTTTTTTCGACAAGCGGTAAGACTCTATCACCGTTCGTATCAGCCGTGTTTCGCCTGCTGTTGTTGTTTCCCGTTTAACAACCTGTGAAGAAGGCGGCGCACCAAAGCTCAACATGACTGACACGCCCCTTCATTCGCAGCGAACACGAGCGAAACACGTTAATGACGTGGAATATTGAGTTGTAGCATAGCCAATGACGTCTCAAGGTAGTTAAGGTGCGAATTGACGTCAACAACAGGTCTTTTTCTCAACTTCTTGGAGTGCATACCTGTGCCGCATCAGCCCCAAAACCGCCATATGCAAGGGGCGTGGCTGCCGATCCAGTGCACACTAACTTAGCTTATACACAGTGTACAGGGGGATGCACCGAGTTGTGTCATAGGGGTGAATTAGAGCCAAGCAGCGGCCACGTGTTCCACCAACAGTTGACAGATGATAGGCCATAGTTGGTAGAAATTCCCGCCATTAGTCCAATGCTCTGACACGCCCCATCGCATCCGGCTTTCTGCCTCTAGTTCGCCCAGACAATGGGCGTTTCAGCAGCCACACCCACTTGCGCTCACAGGCATGGAGTTTATACGAAGCATCACCCTAGATGAGGTCAGAAAAGGCAGTTGTTCTCTCCCGTCTACTAAAAAAGGCTAAAAACCGCGGTGCTGCCCGCCAGCGTTTCTAGCTTCTGCTTCCATAACGAATGCTTTTTGTGGCGCAATTCAAGATTATGAGCGTTGGCTTGAGTGCACCCAGATCAGAATTCCCTCCAGTTGTAGCGTGCTTCTGGTATGGCATGTGGCGGTAAACAGGCGCCCAGGATGCGTCCCAGTACGCGCCGCACCCAATCCGAACTCTGCTCGCAACAAAGCCTCGTGCCCTACCGCAGTGCGGCGACGTGTGGGATCTCGTCGCAGACTGCGCGGCCGGTGTCGGCCTTGGCTGCTGCTGGCACAGACGCGGCTCGGGAATCTGGCTGCAGGGCCGCCTTTCGAGTTCGGACGGGGCTTGAGTGCCGCGATACCGCGGCGATGGCGTTCCGCGCCGCACGGCGCTCCGCGCGATACGCCGGTCCGGTCAGGCCGCCACGACGAAGGTTTTGCGTCGATTGGCCCACTCCGCTAACACTGGAGCTGGGCTGATGAGCCTCTGAGCACTCTCTCGGCGGCAGCCACTCGGACCCTCGCGCCGACTACCAACCGGCGCATCGTTCATCCGAGGCCGCCCTCTCCTCGTTCTCAGCTCAATCTGGCTCAACTGTATGTAGAATTGCGCTGAGAAGGGTCTGACACCCGTAGGAGAAACTGTGCCACATCAGAAAGCTGACGTATCCTTATTCTCAATTCTGCCCGGAATCCTGCAAACGAGTGCCAACGAGTCTACGCCTGACTGCGAGCTAGCGGAGGCGTATTCAGGAGGCGTTGCGCGGACCAGAGGGGCCAGTTCATCGTGGAACTGAGAAGTACGCAACTCTCCTGGACTTTAACACGAGACTTGGTGCGCCGTAATGTAGCGCTCGGAGCAGGGCGCGCCAACACTAGATCAAGGCGGAGAGATCCAAGCTCCTTCCGATCTATTAACCGTGCGTTTGTGCGCAGCGCGTTGAGATGAATAGCAGCTCGCTTCCGAGTGTCGAGTGTCTGAAGTCGCGAGCTTCTGAATGCACGATCAAAGCGTTAGGGTACCACAGAATCCTCTGAGCTGCGAGAGCGTGTCTGCCACCGCAGCATATGCATCAGGCATCTGTGCTAGCAGCTCCGAATATAGGCGTCTGCTGCACGTAACGTAACAGTCCCAACCATTCGGCTCGTGACGAGAGCTCGAGCACGTGCCACGGTAGCATCGAAAAGACCGGAGCGAACACATAGCTGTCAGCATCAGCGCGCTGAGGTCAAGACGCACGAATTCGCTGCCCATACGGAGCGCGTAGAGTTAAAGAGGCGCTCTTAGCGCCCCCATGTCTCGACGACCATCCCAGCTGTGAATAGCTGCTGTGGGAGATTTAGGTTACCCTGGTGGTGTTGGGTCCACGGCTCGGATACTGCCTTCTGTACATGATTCGGCGATCTCGCAGGGATCTGAAAAGTTTTTCTCAAAGGCTCGGAAACCTAACTTGGATCCATCATGTGGAGTGGTATGCCGTCAATAGGGTTCAGACTTCGCGATGACGCGCTAGCACTGCAATGTCGCTCCATTGCTACAGAAGGCACAGACGAGTGACCGATCCGCTACTTTGTTTTGAGAGATAAGGAAAATGAGAGGATAGGTGCTGCCTTATCACACAGTTCTGATACCCTCTGGTGCTGTGCTCTCCCAAAACACTAGCGGTCGGCACCGATCGATACCGGGCTGGGTGATTCTGCAGCGTCTTCCCTTCTGTTATCCTATACTCTCTCAAAACACAAGCATCGATGCCTCTCGATACCCGTCTGCTGCTGCATTCCTATCCACAGTGTCGAAGCGCCTGCAGTGGTAGCGCGTTGACGCGCATTAGAGCTCGATGACGCGCGTCATTGCGAAGTCTGAACGCTGTCTGACACTTCGGAGGAATCCTCGAGGGCAACTTCAGTTCCTCCACCTATACGCAGTGGCTACAGCGCCGCGTAGGCACCTAGTGGGGATGTTGCATGACGTTTGCAGAGCCCATACTCTTGAATTTGCGTGCAGTTTTGGGTACTGTCGTCCTAATCTTGTAATGGAAACGTAACTTCTGCACTTGAAGAGATTTCCCGGCAGCATCTTTCTTTCTTCTTTTCCAGTTAACCGAACCGTAATGAACAGCCAGTCTTCCTCATCGCCACGACGCGCTCTGGTCTCCAGCAAAATCTACCTACCAGCCTTGATTTTCCTGCTTTCTTTCTAGTGGTGCACGTTATATAAATGATATAGATTAATGTAGGCAGTATCAGCGAGTACATACGAAATAATAAAATCTAAATCAAGTATAGTTACTCCCGGCTGGTAGATTAGCTAAGACTAGGAAGGCTAACTAACTTGTAATTGATCCATGTAGTTCATTATTCCACCATTCATGAGTTACCCATCTAACAAATGACTCACCCTTCACACCACTGCAGTTATCACTACTCGAACGTTATCAGGCTTGCGAGATACACGATCGCACCTTTCTCACGATCTTCATCAAGGGTGCGCCTTTGGTGACTGGTGTAAGAACTTCAGAGGGAACGGGCGGAGGGGGGGGGGGAGGTGGAGGATGAACGTGAGACAAAGGTAAGTCGGAGGCGCTCCTCGGCTGAAGAAGCCTCCTTTCCGCACCTACTAATCATAATGTTTTTGGAATTATGTCTACTGATGTTCAGGCTGAAGTTAGATACGGGGGCCTCACCACTGTGCGGCTGTCCCACACAGGATACGTCGTATGTTGGGGATTCTCAGTTAGGAAGGGGGAGGGGCGATAGGTGGTGGGCGAGGGTTGTAATTTGCCTTCAAAACAAAACATTCGTTTATTAACTTTGACCAGCTTTTTTTCTGTTTCAAGCGTACTGTGCACCCCCCCCCTCCGCTCAACGGCTTCTTTACGTGGAGGGAAAGATTTGGAGAAATTTTCAAGAAAACCTCGAGAAAGTGGTGAGAATCACCCGCCAAGTAGCAGTACCCAAGCCCCAGAGAAGTAAAGTGTCATTGAGGAGTTATTTCGCTCACCAGTTCATAGACTCCTGGCAATCTATCCGCTAGCTTCTCCCGAAGGCAGGGCATGTAGCACGTTGGGGATCCCCAGCGCGAGCAGATCGTATTTGGTTGCTGAAGGAAGGGCGGCCGTATTCGTCTTCAAGAGAAATGTTCTCACACTCTTGCAAGGAGTTAACTTGGTTATTTAGTTAGAAAAAACTTCGAGGAAGTGGTAGGAAGCCGGAGATTTTAGGAAGATGGTAAGTGGCATGAAGGAAGATGTCTACTAGCAGAGAAGGGACTTTTGAAGGGATGGTCGTAATTTGCAAAGTTCCCTCACCCGGCAGGGCGTGCCCTGTCTCAGGAAGCTCAGGAAACCCAGGCGGGCCGGATCCCACTTCCCGATTTCGCTTACCTTTTGTTCTTACAGTTTTTGCATAATCATATTGTTGGTGGTGATTAACCTCTTCATACCTCATTATGTCTGGCCGTTTGTGTGTGTCGGCATGTATGGTCAGATTGACTCCGATCGGTCATCGACCAATTACCAGCCACCTGCCCTTTGATTGACCACCGGCAAGCTCTTTGGACTAGCGAGACATTGCGTCATCGCTACGGCTTTATGCGTTATGTTACGCACGTTCAAGGCGCATACGCTCGCTCAGCGCTGATAATTGCGTTTTCGGGAACCGTCCGATGACCTTTGGCACACATGTAGCCGACTCCACGATGATTCCGCAATGCCATTCACCGTGATTGATGCGTACAAGTTGACTTTGATGTAGAAGACAGACGTACAACTGTACTGCAACAGCGCTTGATCGATAATCGTGCCTTGTCATGCAACATGGCGCTAAGGATCTTAGATACGGTAGATATATGGTCACCTTGCGAGCACTGCCAATAGTGAGAAAATGCGCGAATCCCCATGGAACAAAAAAAGTACGTGCCAACCAACTTCT